GTCTCCCCGCCCCAAGGTCTGCCTCAAGGAGCTCGGACAAAAAGCCAACCCAGCTGCTTTCCCCCCAAGGTCAAATCAAAGCCACCTTGGGAACGTGACTTTTCCATGTGCCCCTGGGAGCACACACAGGAGACAGGTACTGTGTGAACATAAGGAACATTCAAACCTGTAAAGAATCTGTGAGTTTGAGCCAAACTGTGGGCGATTGGCAGGAAGCAGAATCTCCATGCATTGAGACACCCCCAGGTCTGCCTCAAGGAGCTCGGACAAAAAGCCAACCCAGCTGCTTTCCCCCCAAGGTCAAATCAAAGTCACCTTGGGAACGTGACTTTTCCATGTGCCCCTGGGAGCACACACAGGAGACAGGTACTGTGTGAACATAAGGAACATTCAAACCTGTAAAGAATCTGTGAGTTTGAGCCAAACTGTGGACGATTGGCAGGAAGCAGAATCTCCATGCATTGAGACAATGCTCCAGAGAATAGCGGTTTTATTTAATTTATTTTTATAAATTGGCCTCCAAGGAAGAGGCCTAAGTGAGTTACATGAAATCCACTGGCGACAGATTAGGGAGAAAGCTAAGGGGGAGCGGGGGCGGGGGGGGGTGGCTAGAACCTCTGGGATTGGATAAAAAGTAGAAGGATAGACACATGCTTCTTTGACACAGGTGGGCATAGGATAGTGAACAGCCAACCATGAACAGTGAGGGAATTTGTGGTCTCTGCCCTGACGCCATCTGTTGGACCCTGAGGGGTCTGGGAAAAGGGAAGGTACACGTTACCCCGACATTCCACAGGCGTGTTTGCAAAAAGACGGTAGGCGCTAAGTAAAGGTCGAAGTTGATCTTTGCCAAGAAAGATACTGGCCCAGGACACAACTGCCCTCCATAAACTGCTCTTTAGTGAAAGCTTTCATTTCAGGCCCCCTGTGGGGTTCCTGTAGGTCTGAGTGTGCAAGGCCGCCACAGCGCCAGCATCCCAGCCTCGGGCGGACAGACAGGCCTCCGAACTCCCGCTGGGTGAAGCATTCCCACCGGGAACCCAGTCCTCTCAGGGCAAGATGGAGTTGGCCCGCGTCCCAGCTCGACCATGGTCTGACCTGGTGATCCTGGCTTCTCACACCCGCTTCCCTCCGACTGCCCCCCGCCCTTGCTTGGTGTTAGAGGGCGTGTCATTCGACCTCTATCTGCCTCAGATCCTGGGAATCGGGGGCGAATGCCCACCTTACTCGGTCTTCACGAGCCTCGGGTGTGTCCCCAAGCATCTGGGGTGGTTCCGGTCCCCATCTGGTGCCCGTGTCAGTGAAGTGACTATTGTCCCCCGCTCAGTGGTGTGAAGGGGGCCTGGTCTGACCACAAAGTAGCTGTTTAAGTGCCAAGATGGATGCAGTGCTGAAAGGCCAGGCGACCAAAAGTTCCCTCTTGCCGAGGAGTGGGGACACCTGGTCTACCAGGTGCCCTGCAGGGCTGCCCGGGGAGAAGGGGAGACTGCCCTGAGCGTGACCCACGGCATGTGCTCCCATGAGCTCCCGGAGTGGGGCGTTCATCTTGAAAGTGTCTCCCGCCATGGCTCCCACAGACCTGCTCTGCCCCAGTGCGACCGTGGGAAGAGTTTCACTGAGCGCATCTCTGCTCGGTCTGAGATGCTTAGTTCTTGCGAACACCGAGTCATCAGCTAACCGTGAAACTCCTGAAAGGGTGTTCCCTTCAGAAGAGAGAAGGGCTGGGGTGGGAGGTTAGGGTGCCACGGTTTGTATTCTGTCCGTGGGTAAAACACACCCCTTCCTTGCCCTCAAGCTGGAAAGGAGAGATGCCAACCGCAGACAGGCAACGAGCTACCCAAAGAGACCAGCCTTGCCAATGAGACGCGGGCACGGGCTGCTGGTGAAATCTCGGTTTATTAGTGCGTTTGGTCTGAGGAACTCAGCTCCGTTTCTTCACAGCCAGGTAGGTCACGCCCAAGACTCCCACAATGACGGCCCCGGAGAGGCCGGCCACCCACAGGGCCCCCGAGTCTCCCACAGCACCTGGCGGAGGGGAGGGTAGGTAAGGGTGGTGATCTGGGGTGAGGGAGGGGAAGCTTTGGTTTGCCCCCTGGTCCAGGCGGGCCCTTAGGTCTTCCACTCACTTGAGTATTTAGGAAGCTTTCCGGAAGGGTCCTCCGTGGCCTGGAGCAGGATCATGGGGCCCTGGCTCGAGATGAAGGCGGTGCTGTTGGGGTCATGGGCGTCAGAGTGTCTCCTTCCTGTCGGAGGGAGGGGGAGGGGGGTTTGTTAGGGTTTTGCTCACGGGGTTGTGGGGGGTCAGGGAGTGAGAGTCCGATGTGAGGCAGGGCTCCTCAACATGGACAGCTCTGCTCGGCCTGAAGAAAAAAACCATGTGAAGTCTCACACACTAAACCTCCTATGAGCAGGTCTTACACCTCCTATTAGGACGTTAATAGGAATCTGAGCCAGACAGGCTCCATGTAGCGCTGTTACCTCATTGCACCAGAATGGGGGCCTCCAGGTCATGTCAGACTGCCCTGCTCTGCCCTTCTTTCCTGAACAGTCACTTAGACAATAAATAGCCTGTGAACACCGCGATACAAAGGTAACTGGCGATCGGTTCACAGAGAAGAGCTTTGTTTGAATTCTGCATCTTTCGCCAGCGACGGGGCCTTGGACAAGTTGGCTCTAGTTCTCAGGAGGGATGTGGATTTGGTAGAGTTGGAGTTAGATATGTGAGACTTAACAGGTTTGTGTGTGTGTATGTGTGTGTGTGTGTGTGTGTGTATGTGTATGTGTTTGTACCAGCAGAGCCTTAGAGCTTCAGGGGACATGGGTCCTATTAATTCAGGGGCGAGACAGTAAATGCTATGGATCAGGCGGGGACACACACACACACACACATACACACACGAGCTTTGGGCCTCCCTACAGCGTGTATTCTAAGCCTCCGGTCACGTCCACTTGTAGATCTTCAGGCCACATGATCAGAGGTGCTTCAAGCAGGTGTAGAGTCTACCTTTACGAGCTGGCCAGGTAGAGAGGTGTGTGTGTGTGTGTGTGTGTGTGTGTGTGTGTGTGTGTGTGTGTGATCGGGCCATGTATAAGCCATGAACCAGTTGGGCTCCTGGCCTAGTGAAAATTCATATGGAAAACGCTAAGGCTGAGAGCTGAAGGATTTTTAGCGTCTGTTTAAAAGGCCTGGGATGGGGAAGCCTCATAGAAGTCCTTGGAGAGGCCTCGTTAATAGGCTCATCTCCAGTCTGAGTCCCCTGCACTCGGGGTAGGAGGTTAGCCTGGGACGCATGTCGCGAGCTCGGATACTCACGCCTGGTCACAGGGCAGGCCACACAGGACAGGGACCCCGCAGGCTGGCAGACGGACACGCTGCAGTGCAGGAACACCTGGGAGCCGAGAGAGTGGGGTCACGGGGTAGCCCCTCATCCCGAGAGGCCGAGAGCCCCATCTCCCCCGGAGGCTGTGCAGAGGCATTAGGTTAGAAGGTCCCGGCAGCCCAAGCCCATGCGACGGGATCACTGGTACCAGGATTGTCCCAAGGCAGCACCAGCAGCCAACCTGGGAGGCCAGCTTGGCCGAGGAGTGGCGTCACATGGACACCATGGAGCTGGGGGGTGCAGAGCCCTGACAGGGGGGCAGGGGAGGAGCATCATACCGGCCCCCCGAGCGCCCGTCCGG